ACACAACACCAACAACAACATCAACGGCAACAACAGCAGCATCAACAGCACCTTTGGAGACAACGACAGAGGGGAACAGAGGAGTTAATGGACGAGGTGAGTGCTGCGTTTTCATTCCTTCTCTCTCTCTCTCTCTCTCTCTCTCTCTCTCTCTCTCTCTCTCTCTCTCTCTCTCTCTCTCTTTCTCGCATGTTTCGAGCGCCGTTGCTACGCAGGTAGTGTAGAAGATCTGTCAGCTACCTCGTCGACTGTGGCCGTTAACAAGTTTGTATGCGCGCGTTTCAGTTGTATTGTGGAGAGCGGAAGGAGTAGAGAATGCGGATCGGGTGGCAACTCTATCACCGATTCATGCTTCGTCGCGAGGAAATCGACATCGATATTGTTTGTTGTTGCGGTTACAATATTTTCTTTGTTGATATGTTTTAATTGTTAAGTTTATTTGTTAATTAAATTTGTTGCCTATTTACTCGTATTCGTTGTTTTTGCCTAATCACTCCTCATTCCGAATTTAGTAACGCGCATTTTGATTCTTTTTGCTCGGCGGATCATTTAGTCGTAGGAACGTTCGCGCTTCTCGAATCCCCACCTTTCAAATAATTTGTACGAACGGTTGCGAGCTACCCATAAAGAAAACGGTCGCAAGTTTCTCTGTTACAATATATTTGAGTAATTCCCCACATTTTTTGAGATTGCTGGTACTAGTGATTTGCGCTATAACCTGAGTATTTTGAGTCTTAAGTAATGATGTATTTTCATTGAAATATGGTCACAAACATAGGTTTGTAAGTTTTGTACATGTTACCAATGATAAAAAGCCATAATCCACGAAAATATGGACAAAATTTTGCAATTTTTGAGGGTACTCTTTCGAATTATTGTAATTCTTAAGGCAATAAAAAAATAACTTTGTTTCTGATATCCTGAAAATCATATAGAAACTTATTTAGTGATTGTACTTTCATATTATATTGGTTAGATCGATGTGCCTATTTTCAAAAAAAAGATATGACCGAAATTTTCCAGGTACTAACGTTTATCAATAAATTTATTTTTTTTTATTTAGCTATTTTATGAAAGTAACATTTATGGTAATTAATTTTAAAAATATGGAAAAAGTTGCTTCTGCAGTAACAATAGCAAATTTTATTTGCCAAATACTGTGCCTCAATAAATAACATATATATATCATGGAAAAGTCTATATGATCAAACGTACACGGTTTCAAAAAAACACATAAACAAAGGGCACATCTAAAAAAATATACATAAATATTTTATTATAACTGTGAACGTTAGCTTTTAGTATATATTAATTAAAAATAGTATTGCTATGTCAGAAATATTTTTTTCTTCTGAGAAAGTGATATTCAATAAATTTAGTAAAAATTTATATTTTCTCAATTTTTTAAAACTATGGAAATTGATTGCGTACACAGTGGATAATGAAACTTTATATATAGTATACAACTAATAACCATTATTTTTGATATTTATCTGACGCAATTGATAACAGAAGTTCGTATGAACTAGTTATGTTGCTGCGTATTATACCGGTCGTGTATAATGTAAACACAGCAAATCAATCTCATATTTTGAATCTATGTCTTCAGTTACTGTCGGTATTTTGTACGAATAACACCCGTAATTTTCTAAATGAGTAAGTTAATATTTTTTGCCTATTCTAAAGCGAGATTTTACGTTTCATTGATTCATATTATATTATAGCATACCGTTATGATAGTGACTCAAAATCAGACTGAAAGTGAGCAAGAAACTGCTCAAGAAAAGAAATTACGATTGAAAAGAGAAGCAATTGCTGTGAAAAGAAAAAATGCAGAGGAAAAAAAATAAAAGAAAAGCAACGTTTGCATATCTTTAATCAAACAAAATTAGTAAGTTCAGTCACCAGTATAAATGATCCTAAATGTCAACAAAAAACTGCCTGTGATAAAGTGGAAGTAATTGTCGAAAACAATTGTAGTCAAATCACAACAAGGCCTGCGAAATTGAACGCAAAGTGCAAAATTAGTGAAAGTGTTATTCGTCGTAAGCGAAAACATTCAAGTGTTGATAATACCATAGAAGTAAATTCTAATTTTCAAACATGTGTGAATGACTCGTCTATTTCTGTTGAAAGTGACTTTATGTGCGATGAAATTGTTCCTGTTAAAAAAAGTAAAACTAATAAGTGTTTCAATGACAGCCGAGATGAATGTTTACTCAACGAAGATAGTATTGATGTGCCTTGTACAAAGGAAGTTCGACAGAAAAAAAAAGAATCAAAGACAGTCACTCGTTTGAGACGAGCTCTCTTGTTTTCGCGTAGGAGAGAAACGCGACTGCGCAGACAAAATGCCAAATTAGAGCGTAAGATAATTGCTCAGCGTAAACATACAAGTAAACAAACCAATCGATACAAATCAAAATATTATAAACTGTTAGCTAAACACAGAACACTGAAAAAAGATGATATAATTGATCGCGTTGAGAAAATTGAAATGAAAGGTTCAGAAGCGGTTAGGAAACAGTTAATACATTGCGAAGTCTTAGAAACTCAGTTAAAAAGCAATAAAAAGTCAACAAAAACGCAATCAGAAAAATCCACGTTAGCTCGATTAGTATCCGGAAAAATAGTTAAAAAATATAAATTAATGGGAAATATGAAATCAATCGCTAGTGAGTATCATCAAAGAAAAATGATCGACGCAGATGAAATCCTGGCTGCTAGGCAAAGAAAGAAGCAAGAAGCGTTTAGGAAAAAAGTCGAAAGTGCGGTTTGTAATTTTTTAGAAAAAGATGAAAATTCTTCTGTAGCTCCAGGTATACGAGAAACAATAACGAAAAATGGTGTGACTATGAGAAAAAGATATGTAGCTGATTCATGGTTTAATTTATACAGAAAATACAAAAGTGAAGAAACTTTCAAAATATCCAAATCGCTATTTTATAAATACAGACCATTTTGGATTTTGAAAAAAAAATTTTCATCTCGAGATACTTGTTTGTGCAAACCTCATGCAAACTTTGAATTTCTGGTAAACAAATTAGCTTATTTGAAACTATTGCCGTATAAGAATGTCCAGAAGTTTATTAAGACTCTTGTTTGTGACGTGAAAAATAAAGATTGTATGTATCGAGCACGTAGTAAATATAAAGATAAAAAAGTTAGTAATTGTAAGGATGATGTTGATACGTTCTATTATAAATGGGTATCTGAGAAAGAAACAAGAGTTTGCGCGAAAAATAAAATTTTCAATGTAACTGTGACGTTGAAAAAGAAAATAATGTGTACGGTGTCTGAATTGATTAATGAAATAAATTCTCAAACTTCATCATTTTTGAAACATGTCTATGACACTAACCATCAATTTTCATTCCATGAAAAAAACACTTTGCGATTAAAACGGAATGAAGTCAAAATTATTATTGACTTTTCTGAAAACTACAACAGCAAATACTGTAAGGAAATTCAAGCAGTCCATTTCAGGGCGTCTAGAAAACAAATTTCTCTACACACTGGGGTTTTCTATTATATAGATCTTGCGGATGGTAAACTAAAATGTAAATCTTTTTGTACTACCTCAGAATGTTTGCGGCATGATGCAGCGGCAATTTGGGCTCACTTACAGCCAGTTTTAGAATTAATAAAAAGGATTTCGCCATCAGTAAATACTATTCATTTTCAGAGTGATGGCCCATCGACTCAATACAAAAATAAGACTAATTTTCAGTTATTCCAATACCATTGTAAAAAACTAGGCCTTCATCATGCGACGTGGAATTTTTCAACTCCTGGACACGGCAAAAGTTCGGCTGATGCAACAGGAGGTACAGTAAAAAGAATCTGTGACCAAGCCGTGCTATCAGGTACTGATATATTATCAGTTAATGACATGATAGATGCAGTCAAACGTGTACCTGATGGTAAAATTGAAATTTTCTCTGTTTATTTATCTGACGTGGAAAAAATTGATAAATTAGTAAATCCGAATATCAAAGCAGCACCTAAATCAATTCAAATTTTCCAACTTATGTGGACTAAAAAGGAGCCAGAAAAATTATTTCTCAATTATCTGTCATATTTACACTGCATTAAAAATCCACCATGTAAGCATTATTTATTAATTGAAAACGGATGGAATTTATGCGTTAAAAAACAAACAAGTCGTACAGAAAAAGTTATTGTTGCAAAAAACAAACCAAACAAAAAAACAAAAAGCAAAACGAAAAAAGTTGTTCAAGCCAAAAAAGTTAATACATTAAAAAAAGGTGCGAAAACAGATAGTAAATTGAAAAAGGCTAGGAAGAATAAAGTTATTGCGACAAAAAATTAGCGTATACTCAAATTTGGACCAAAATTGTGATCATTTGTTTGTGATTGTAATATATTTATGTATAAAATATTTTGTTATATTGTTAAAAAAATAATTGATTTAATAAATAAAGTTTTTTCGTTAATCATACTTGTAAATTAATTTTGTATAGTTGAAAAAATAATTTTTGTTCCTATTCGTTTTTCTAAAATAACATGTAAAAAAAATCATGTATACTGAATTTTTTAGGGTACTTATACAGCCTATAATATGAAAAATCATGTTTCGTAGATGTGCCATTAATTTTTTTTTTAATTTTTACGACGCTCGAATCTTCAAAAATCTAGGGAATTACTCATTTATCATTTTTACTAACCTGCCGTTCTCTTCTTTCATATTTTATTTTTCACTTATTCACTCACGCAGTTTCACGTGCATAAACCTAATGTAATAAAGTTGATCAAGGTCAGCTTATAATCACAGCGTTATCGATTTGTAAAATGGCTATTGTTGAATGAGTAAATGAGTAATTTACTGAACCGACACCGTATGATAATCGAATACATCTAATCGTTTAATTTTATGGAATAATTTTTTAACATTTTACGCGCGCACGCACACGTATACACACAAATACTTACGCATAACTATATATATATATATATATATATATATATATATAACTTACTGTTTTACTTGTATTCCAAATATCCAGATTTATTTCGATATGTTTCTCTCTGTCGGTGAAATCTTTTTTGGAATTGATTGTCATCTTTGGAAGTGAAAATATAAAAGAATCCACTTTAGATTGTATGCTGACATCTAAATAATTTGTATCGTACTACAATATAAATAACGCTTTTTAGATTAAGAAGAAATTAAATTAAGAAGAACATTCTAAACTCACCTCAAGATGCCCGATGAAATTTATAGACGTTTCAACAGATTGCACCGATATATTAGTTTTGTAAAAATTATCGTCTATTTCTAAAGCTGTATTAGAATTGACGAATTTCAAAAAATGTAATGGCGTTGTCAGTTCTAATTTTAATGAGTGTAGTTGTGGATCCCCGTCTTCTAAGCATTGATAGGTATAATTGAAGTTCAATCCAGACTAATATACATCAACCATCGGATATTAAATATTAAAATCAATATTATTATTATTACCATAATTATATCATCATTTCTTGAAATTTGTGCTCATACCTCTATCCATTCTGTATGATTCATAATCTTGAAGCTTATATCCATTAAATAATTCATAGTGTCCATGTTGGCAGAGAATGAATATGCGGAGATGATTTCAGATGCACATTGAAATGGAGTTTCGATACTTAAGTCATTCTTGATATTGAAAAAATCTTCCAGGTAAAAACGATCTTCTAATACAATTACACCCGATGGTAATCTCAAGATTACTAGAACTTTATCAGTGTAACCTTCTCGGTCGAAATCAAGTGTTCCAACGATTGGATTTATGATAACGAGGTTCAACTAAAAATCAATCATGTTCATAACAGCTGGTCGTATTCTCTATTTATTCATTATATAAACTAAAAATTAACTTCAGCTGAAATAAAATTTCATACCTCAATATCGGCCTTATAGTATATACTATTTTCGGCGTCTTCATAGATCTCGTTAACATTTAGGTCAGACTTCAAGGGTATGGTGAGAGGTGGCGGCAGCTTTGGACCTGCATGAGCTTTGATGCCGGCTTTGAGATCGACAATACGTAATGAAAACTCCATGTTAATGTCCGTATAACCGGCAGGTTCCTTTTGGCTGATTACCAATTTGGTGATCGCTCCAATCTCGTGAAAACCTTGCAGTGGGGTGTACAGGATATAACTATAGTGGAAGTTGGTTATGTTGTTGTAAAACCACACTCCCTAGTAAACAAACGTAAAAAACTTCAATGAATGGCACTGTTGTTAAGCTTAATGATGATAGTCAGAGTACTATATTAAAGCTATGCGCAAGCGTGTATTTATTTTTATAAATTCAAAATATTCATATAATATGTCCAATTTTTTAGAATTTCCAACTTTGATTAGTTGAAACATTACAAATTTTGATTAATTTGTTCGATTATAAACATGTATCAAATATCATCAGAAATAAACATGTTTTAAATAACATATACCTTTGCATTGAATTGTAACGAATTTATATACGAGGTCTGGTTATTAAATAATGAGACTAGTTACGAAAAAGGGTTTTATTATAAAAATTATTCTACATTCGAATGCTCTCCTTCAATATACTCCCCTTCCTTCACCACGCACCTTTCCATACATTTTTTTCCATTGACCGAAGCAGTGCTGGAAGTTTTCTTTGGTGAAGCCCTTTAGGAACTTTGGTGTTTTTTAGTTTACCGCTTGCATCGACTCAATTCGGGTCCCTTTTAAAGCAGATTTCATCTTCGAAAATAAAAAAAAAATCGCACGGTGCCAAATCTGGCGAGTACGGTGCATGTTTGAGCACTGGAGTGCGTTTATCAGCCAAAAACCGCTTTACAGATAGCGCGTTATAAGTAAGTGCGTTGTCCTGGTGAAAAATCTACGAGTTTTTCTTTCGCAACTCGGGCCGTTTCTTACGAATACGTTCTCGCAGTATTGCCAAAATTGACAAATAGTTAATCTAGTTGACAGTTTGACCCTCTGGAACCTATTCAGTCATCACGATACCGTTAATATAAAAAAAAGATTAACATTGCCTTGAATTTTGATTTGGACATCCTTGCTTTTTTGATTCTAGGCGATTCAGGCATCATCCAATATATCGATTGTCGCTTTGTTTGTTTCATCATCGTATTGAAAAATCCACGTTTCGTCGCAAGTAATAATGTTTTTCATCAGTCTCGGATCTTCTTCTAACCATTCAAGAAAATCTGAGTAGACCAGTTGACGTAAGAGATTTTGGTCAGGAGTCAAGTTTTTTGGCACCAACTTCACACATGACTTTTGTCATGTATAATTCCTCGTACAAAATTGTTCTAACCGTTTCTTTATCGGCGTTTACAGCCTCGGCAATCATCCGGATGCTCATTCAACGATCTGCACGTATAATTTGGTTGATTTTGGTTGCTGTTTCATCCCTTGTCGTCTCTGATTGCTCGCTGCCTGCACGCGCTATTGTTAACCCGGGTAACGATATAATTACGTTATCGCATTGTTGATACCCGGTTTATATGATTTAACGTGCGAATTAGCGGCTTAGGAAACTAAGGACGGATGAGCTATGTGACTAAGGGTAAGAATGCGCGCGGGGAAAGGAGACGGAAGAGAGAATAAAAGAGAGCGGAAAAAAGGAAACAGAAAAGTTTTTGTAAAAAGATTTGACTTGGTAGGTTACTGGTGGTAGCAGCAGAAGAAGTGACTCAGCTTTAGCGACGCAGATTACTACAGAGCTCTGCGATTTCGTTTGGTGTAATTGGCAATTGGTTTGGCAAGCTGAGTTGTCCCCGGCCTCTGCAGCATATCTATCAGCATCTTGCTTCATTACCACTGACATCCGAGTCCACCAAGGGAGAAGATGTGGCAGACAGAGTCGACCGATCCATATGAGCTCTCTCTCTTTCTCTTCTTTTTCTTTTTCCCCACTTTCCGTTCATCACCGGTATGCACATGACAACCATAATGTCACGGGCTCGGGATAACCTGGTGCTACACGGTGAACAAGATTGCAACCGTTGAACGATCTTCTGTTGTCCGAGTCTGCCGGAGAGACTCGCCACTGCATGCCGTGCAGCAATTTGCAGTAATTGAGCACCTTTCCATGAACAACGTTTCGCTCTGAGCATTTGTCCGGACGGGACACGCCCACGAAAGACTGTATTTTAATTATAATTATTCTTCGTTTGTTTTTCTTTACCTTTATTAGAGTTTCTAATTTTTGTTATATTTTCTTTGTAATCAAACAATTTGTTGGCAACGGAATTTGTAATTTATAAAATTTAGTTTAATTATTTCTTTTCTTTCCAGGCTCTCGTGCGCACGAACGTCGTAGTCTGCATGCCCGAAAGATTGCTTAATAGCCGAAGGAATTTGCCTTCCGAATCCCTGCATAAATAATTTAGTAAATAGAGTCGTGGGCAAACATTTATTATAAAATTCAACTCTTTTTTTATACAACAATGAAAACTAGAAAATTGTGAGCAGTAAAAGACCGCGAAGCAGCCCAGTCAATTAAAACTTAAATACAAAATGACAAGACCAATTATCGAATTACTGGCTAAGCAAATCAAGAAATGAGTACGAGACACTGGAAACTAATAAAGAAAATCAAAAGCATTGAACAAAATAGCAATACAATAACAAACTAAAAGAACTAAGACAAAATAAAATAAAAATCCAACCATCATCCTCAGAATGATACATACTAATCATTAGCACACTGAAGAAAAAAACACATAATTCTACATTTACCACCGTAAAGAAAACAGAGCTTTGAAAGTAATATTGAGCAACGTTTACCCTCCAGTAAATATCAAAAAACTAAAAACTGTTATAGAAAAATACGGGAACAATGTATAAAGCATCCGCAATATACAGCATCGTATTTAAAACCTATCATTGCCTCTGTTTAGTGTTGATATAGAACATGATTTCAAGAGCAAAAAAAGTGAACATATTTGTATTTACACATAAAAAATTGTTATTATAAAATGTGTAAAATATCACCCGTCTACAGAATGTCCAATCAAAGGAAAAATAAAAAAAATAATTTGCAAATTGCCGAAGAAATCATACGGTAAACTATGAAGGATGCTCAATACGTAAGCAGCTATAGCAAAAATTATTTCCTAGACTAAGAGACAAACATTAAATTATAATAATGCACAAATTTAGCCAAATCTAAATGCCAATATACACCTACACAATACATTTACGCATACATGGTAGGAAAGGACGGCAGGAGTATCAACCTCGTTAAGATAACCAAAGAATATCTGGCCAGGACTTTAGTACTTTATCAAAAGACTTCTTCCTAGGATATAGAACAGGAAAAGGAATCCCAAAGAAAAAAGAAAAAATGGTAGAAACAAGTGAGAAAAATGAACTATTGCAGATAAGTACCGGTAATGCTAAAAATCCCGTCGAGGGTTCCAATCCAGTGCAAGCCCGAGTAGTCATTGTTAGCTCCATGGATACTAGGGGGAACCACTAAACCACTCGATACTAATAATGACATTGACAATGTCATCGTGATGAATTTATTGGTCACTCAAGGAACTAATACTGTAAGTGATTATAGTCCCGCAGGACTATACTCTATAAGACTATAGGACTATACTCTATAAGGACTATAACTACATGGAAGAAAAAATGGAGGAATACTAGCAACAGTGGGATAACGTCAACTTCTGGAGGGCTGGGTAGAAGTCTCAGCGATAGAGAAGAAAGAGCAGATAATACTTGAGACTCTTAAAAGCAAGATTAATGCCATGTATTTAGTGGTCAATCCAGACAAAATCATCTACAAGTTAATTAAAATAGATCTAAAGGCTGCTATGTCTCACTTTAAATGACTCGGGAAGAAAGAGAGAAAATAACAGCAGCCAAGAGATTATTTCAGGAAGAATTAGAGTAAGTGGTTCGCTGGGCTGACGAGAGGAAAGAGTTAGATAAATAAGAAAAGGCTAGCATCTAACCCTCCTATCATAATCAGGCTAGAAAAGTGAGCATTCCCGACGGCAGAAGTGATATTAGTCAAGTAGAAGAGGAGTGAACTGCATCATCAGGACAAGTCTAGATTAGTGATCAAACACTGAAAGAGAAGCCGCAGCTTAATTCTGAGATAAGAATCTCAACCAAGAAGAGAATGAATGGAATATTATGAAAAAACAGAAGAGCAAAAAGAAGAAAAGAAGGAGATTAAAAGTAGACAGCAGATCAGTTTCTAAAGCGGCACCTTTTAAAGGAGGCTTTCCAGACTGTAGACAGAGGTTTTTTTCATAAAAAGAAGCAATGATATCACAAAGATATCATACGAATCGAGGCGATACTACGCCGACATACTGAAGGCAGTGAAGCAGAAAGCGGACAAGGATAGAGTTGGAACTAAAGTCAGTAAGTTTCGAAAGGTGAAAAATAGAAATGTATGTACTCATAGAGCTTATAACAAACTTCAATCTGGAAGAAAAGAGCGTAGCTTTACGAATGGCTATAGGCGACCAATTAACCTCCAGGCGACCGGCATTTGTGAATTAGTCCAATCGTATTTCCAAAATTTTTTCTCTAGAACAAATTTTGAATGGACTAGTAATATGGCTCGACCTTGAGATGATGCGCATCAGCATTACTCCGGCCTCCTGGTGGTTAGTAGTAAGGCAATTGGTCCCAACAGTCATGCTTGACACCTTGTCACAGGGTACCAGAAGTTGGACACCTTGTCGCAGGGTGCCAGAAGCTATACAAGTGTGTTTTTTGCGAGGTAACAAGAAAACCTAACGGCCACAAAGTAAAGGACGTTACGTACACTGCATTGCGTATAGCCAGAGATAAGCTGGACCACAAAAGAGAAAATAGCAAAATTTCTTAGTATAAACCTCCTTTAGATTAATCTTAACCGATTCAGGGCATCACAAGATTTTGTCATATAGTATACACATGAAATCATTGATAGGGAACGTCATCCCATAAAATAATCATCAATTTTTTATTTCATTCAAAGTTTTGTTGATCCTGTTATTTGTCACTTCGAAAAGATTGTAACGGTCCTATCTATGATCTCCTAGACTATTTTCTCATTTTCACTGTATTAGGGCAACCCGCTAAATTCGCAAATCAATACCTATTAATTAGCATATAGACCGTATAAGGAGCGTGACGTCACTCTACTTATAGATATGCTAATTTTTATTATTCAATTAAAATGCGTTATTAAT